TGGATGCTACTGCTCAGACCTTCCCGTCTTCTTATACCCCTTCTTGCTCTTTTTCATCCCTATCGTCTAGCTCTAACTTTACTTTTCTCCCCCCATTTTCAACCCCAATTCTTAGCCCTCCTCCAGCTTGCTTCAGTAGTCGCTTGTCTTCTAGTTTCAAATCACACACAGTAGCAGGGCATCGCTCCAATCTAGTCACAAGTCCATGTTCAACCAAGCGGACAACGTCAGCTCATCCTTTTCCCTTTGGAGTCCTCGTATCTCGCTAAAACTGGCATGCCTCAGCGTGCGCTCTTTGCTACAGATTGGCCAACAGGCAGCGCTTTCCCGCACACTAGAGACCCTATCGATCGATATTTGCTGTTTATCAGAAACCCGCCTGCAAGATTCGAGCTCCATGGTTACCCTTCGATCACCCACATGCGACACTGGCGGCACATTCTCATTGTGCCAGTCTGGCGATGATGCAGCTTTAAATGCCGGTCAAGCTGGCGTCGGTATTGTTTTAAGTTCGTGGGCTGAAGCTGCCCTGATCCATTAGATCCCAGTAAACAGTAGGATGTGCGCCGTTAGATTAGCTGGTTCGTTCCGTGCTACGAAGTCGCGCGGGGACAAACGGTGCCTGTTTGTCATTGCGGCCTACGCCCCTACAAACTGTAGCACTGATTCGGTAAAAGATGATTTCTATCAGCAACTTCACGTGCTCCTTCGTTACAGAAGTAGCACGGATACTGTGGTGTTGGCTGGCGATCTAAACGCCCAAGTCTGAAAATTGTCCTTGATGATCTTCATCTGGGCGGCCAACATGGTGTAGGCTCCCGTAATGATAACAGTGAGCGATTGCTACAGCTGTGTGAAGATGCTCGCCTCTTTCTCGCGAGCACTAACTTTCGACACAGCACCCGCGGAAGCGTGACTTGGCGGCCGCCAGCCTTGGACGCAAATCGATCATATCGCGATCAGTTACCGCTGGAGAGGCTGTGTTCAAAACTGTCGCTCGATTTGGAGCACGAGCGTGGACTCTGACCACGCACTTCTCTGCACCGACCTCCGAGTGCGTTTCGGTGGACGTCCGCAACGTCAGTGTGAACGGATTGACACCAACCCGCTGGCGAAGCCAGATGTTCTGAATGTGTATCGAAGTGCGCTGACATCTGGGCTGAGTAAGCGCCCACTAAACACCGTCAAAGATCACTGGTCGCATATTCGTCAAACGTTACTGTTAGCAGGCATGTCTTCATTTGGCAAAGTAAATTGCCAACTCGGACATTGGGTCTCTACACATTCTCTGGAACTTATGGATGCTCACCGACGTATTCCAGCTGGAAGCGAATACAATGAGGCTCGCAAAAATCCCAGGGCAAAACTACGTGCTAGCCTGAAGAAAGACCGCGAAACCTGGTGGTCTCATCGTGCCTCTGAGATGGAAACAGCCGCTAACGTTGGCAATCATCGTAAGTTATACCGTCTGATACGTGAAGCAGGCAGCAGGAGACCTGGTGTTAGCGAGACAATACGCGACGAGAGTGGGCAGCCGATCCACAGCCTATCAAAATGCTTGGAGCGTTGAGCTGAACACTTTACAAGGAAATTTAACCAACCTGTGTTATCGATTTCTTTTTCGGGCATTGAGCGCCCTTCTCCCTAGGCCGTCTCCTTGGATCCGCCCTCACGCGCAGAAGTCGAACGTGAGATCAGGTTGTTGAAATTGCATAAGGCCGCATGGGCAGATAGAATTCCCCCAGCCCTCTTCAAATTCGGGGGATCTGCTCTAATAGATAATTTACACGAGTTGCTAGTAAAACTTTGGGAGCAGGAGACAGTCCCGACAGACTGGAACCGCTCCGTCATTGTCCCAATTTTCAAGGGAGGCTCCCGTTTAGAATGCGGCAATCATAGAAGGATCAGTTTGATTTCGATTGCATCTAAATTGATTGCCTCTGTCATTCTGCACAGACTGACTGGCATTCGTCAAAGCCAGCTTCGTAATGAGCAAGCCGGATTTCGTCGAGATCGGGGCTGCATCGACCACATCTTCACATTGCGTCAAGTGTTGGATCACCGCCATGTTTATTGGCGACCCACCATTGTCGTGTTTCTTGACATAAAAGGTGCCTTCGATTCAGTCGATCGACATGTCCTTTGGGATTGTCTGCTGAGGAAAGGTGTGCCTGATAAATATGTAAACATTATCAAAGCGCTGTACGCACATAGTTCGGGCAGAGTGAGGGTTTATGGCAAACTGTCGCCACCCATCAGTATCACCAGCGGTGTGAGACACGGTTGCCCGCTGTCACGTTTTCTCTTTAACTTCGCTATTGATGAAGTCATGGAAACAGCGTTCGCTGGACACGACCTAGAAGGTGTGGAGCTACTTCCTGGTGAGCGACTTCTTGACTTAGAGTATGCGGACGATATTGTCCTAATCTGTTACAGCTCCCAAACATGCCAAGCAGCACTGGACCGCTTATCACTGGCTGTCAATCGTTTTGGGCTATGCTTAGCTCCAACAAAATGTAAAGTATTTCTCCAAGATTGGCAGGGACCCAACCCTGCGCTAATGCTTTGTGGTGATCTGCTAGAAGTCATTCAGGAATTTAAGTACCTGGGCAGCTATATTAGCACCCGTGGGATTGAAGATGAGGTTACGAACCGTATAGCAAAAGCTCGAGGTGCTTTTGCCAATCTCCGCCACCTGTGGCGCAGGCGCTACATTACTCTCGACATGAAGGGCAGAGCTTATAACGCAACCGTCCGTTCAACTCTCCTATATGGTTGTGAAACCTGGCCCATCAGGTCAACAGACATCAAGATGCTCGTCATATTCGATCATCGCTACCTTCACAGCTTATCTCATGTCTGGTGGGAGCACCGCGTGAGCAATGAGCGTGTTCGGCATTGCGTATTTGGTGCAGGAAGAGCGAGTGAACCACTCAGCACCATTATATCACGCACCAGGCTCCGATGGTTGGGCCACGTGTTGCGCATGCCATCACACCGACTTCCGCGACGTGCATTGTTTGCACTTTGTGGGTGCGGTTGGAAGAGGAGGAAGGGAGGCCAAGCGGTGACTTATTCGAGAGAGATGAAAACCCTCACTTCGAAGTTGACGTCGGTTGGTGCATCCCGACTGCCTGGCTGGAGTCCTAAGGCCGGTGAACACGTTTGGTTGGACACACTTGCTGATATGGCTTGGAGCCGACCCCAATGGCGTTTTTGTTGTGAGTTCCTTTGTCCATCCCCCTCCTGCTTCGCATCCCCTCCAATCACGGTCTCACTCGTCAGGCATGATATGACTCTCTTTTTACGGCAGGATAAATGGCTGTTAGCTCTCCGGAACGATGTCCATCCGTTACTGTGGACTCAACCGGGGTGCCACTGTTTGTTTTCCTTTCCTTGTCTTTTGTATTGCGGCACAATAGCTGAGGTGTTTTCCACCTGCAGCTAACGTGTATAATGATGATAATGATGTGGACATTTCATGGGGTCCTTCTGTTCACTGGCCCCGCGTCGAGTTCCTCCACTCGAGCCACCGGCTACCATCATACCAACATGAGTTTTTAACCATTGTTAGTTGCTCTCCTAGCGTGGCTCCATGATTTCGTTGGAAACGCACGCACCAGCATTCTCTTTTCTCTGGATTCGATTCCCAGTTGAGCAGACAAGAACTCGGTCGTGGGTGCATTACCGCGAGCTGGCTCGCAACATCCAACGCTCTTAGGTCTTAGCTACATTCAACTCCAGTGGCCTAAGTTGCGTGCCTCAAGCTATCCACACATGCCATCACTCCCATTTCTATCTCTTCCTCGGCATCATGAACTTATTGACCCACATAAACCCATATGCAGTTAAAACTCCAGAGTTGTCTACCTCCAAGTGGACTGTTTTTTCTTGGCTTCAACGTTCACCATGTAAACACTGTGGGACCAGACCTCTGTATATTGATCACATTTGTAATTTGTATAGGATATAGCAGACATTAGTTTGACATCTATAACTTGACTAAATGGACATTTACTGTGCATTGCTCGCCCGACTCGCTCATCCACATAATAATAATACTCTGTTTGTAGCGGTACTTTACAACATGCGAACTTCTCTTGATCCACAAACTGCACTTAGGGGCTCCGCAGACGTTCGACGATACAGCATGTTCCCTACCTGTGTATGTTCGTGTGCGACTTGTCTCACTCCTCAGTGTTTACGCGTATGGGTGTTTGCCTGGTTCCGTGTGTCCCAACAGATACGCGTCCAGGAGTTCACCTTGGCCATTTTGTGTAAACCCTTTTCTCACCCGTATACCTACTCAAGCGCCCATCATACCTACCCTTTGGAATAAGTGCTCATTCATTGCACGGGTGGCAGTCAGGAATTTGATTGCCTATTTAACTGTCTATTAACCGGCTCTAAACTAACCGGTTAAGTTACGGTCGTGATAATAGAAAGAAGCATACAAGTATTGACTTAAAAAGCGATTTAAGTTAAGGAAACCACCTTGCGTTTTGATTTATTATAATACTGTAGGATTTAACTGTTTCGCATTAAGTAAGAGGTTGTCTACTATACACAAAACAGGATGTACGTGAACATAATTTTAATACTGTACTGCAAATACTGTACGGCAAAGTAAGGTACACAGAGTTTTTGTATAGGACCTTCGTTTTTGCCACTTTGTTCCATTCTCTTGAGTGGTCAATTTACGGAGGTTTTACTGTACTCTCCGAGAAGCAGTTGTGTGGCTTGATCTTTGTTTCAATGAGTTGCATGCCGTATAGTGCGCGTTATGTTTACCTGGTATTTCTCCTCTTTAAGGGCGCCTTGTTCTGGGCTATTATTGGTGAACACTAATTCTCAGCTACAAACAAGAGCAGTAGTCATGTAATTCGCACAAGCAAACCGCCCCAGGCGGAACATATTCATCGACAATTTGAGTTGGTCTGTATTGTCACTGTTTTTCTAACGCAACTCGTGCTCATGCTTCTCATCGACATTTGCTCCAGATCCCTTCATCCTACTTGTGGAACTACTTCACGGTATCTGCCATGACTTTGCGAGACAACCGCACTGCGACCGCCGTTCTGTGTCGGACACATCCGATCATCACACCACAGGACCACCTTCTGCCTCGACACAAATTTCATCGCTTGCTTCACCACACCCCAATCACCTGATCGTCGCTCGGTTGAACGTTTTGGTCTTGCTTTCCAACCGCTTCGCTGCCAATTCTATCGCATCCACACATCATAATCATTCGACCACGCGTTCCTGCATACTTCGGGCTGTCTTCTATGTGTAAGTAGAATCGTGCAGCCAAAGCCGAGAACCTATTGTGGCACTTCTGTGCGCCATGACAAGTTTCAGAAGTGCCGAGATCAGTATTTGTTTCAGTTCATTTTGGTTATACATTCATAGCCCGTGATCATTTGTCTCTCTGGTCCGATCACTCTTGGTGATCCGTTCTGTCTAATTTAATAACTGGGATCGGTGCACTGCGGTACAGTAGATCCACCAGTATACTAACAATTCGGGGGGGGGGTGAACTACAAGTGAACTCACAGAATCGTGGAGTAGTTGTGGACCATAACTAAGGGAACAACTTCAGGTCCGTGACCGACTCCGTGGCCTCCAAATCCCATGGAGTATCTAATCATTGATGTGACCCATACAGGCAACAGCATTGAGCCGGCACATTGTACTGATGCTTCACCGCCATGCGAGCGCCAACAGTCGTGTCAAGGCTGGATCTACTGCGAGGTCACCCGTACCCACGCGGATTCGAACCGCCAGTGACTTTCAGATTGCCAGACTAGTGTGTAATCCTTTCAGCCACCGGCGTGGACTATCCCGAGGTTCTCATCCAGGTAGGCGACATGCACCAATGTGACTCAGTACCTTGGTAAATTTCTTCATCCTCTTTCACGTTGTCATTGACTGGCTAACTCGCAATTTCGTCCAAGCAGGTGCGCTGTCGCCGAACAGCACAATAGAGTGAGCCAACCGTCTAGCTGCATGCGGAACCGAGCCACCATGATTGTTTCGAGTTTAAATGACACTCCAACTAAGGCACCCGAGAGAGCAAGTCGGCAAACACAAGCTGCGGCGCTATTCATTCCATTCTTCACCAACTTGTAGAAACAATACTTAGTACTCGTCGATACTCAAGGACGGATACTTTGGTTTTTGCCTCAGCACTTACCGCAGACCATCCAGCTATGCGGGAGGCATGATAATTGGTTACTTAATCTGTCTTGACACCTGAATGCACCCTCAGCAGTGAACATGCTACAAACTTGTTACAAGTTTACGCTCAGTTTGCCGCTCAGTGGATTGGAATGCAACGATGCAACTGACGCGTCTTTCTCTTTGAACCTCTTGTTTCTCCTTCCACCGTTTCACAATCAGCTGTCAGCAGAACGCAGGTAGTTCATAAGCGATCCGTTTATTTGTTGTTGACGATTCGATAGGAAGAGGCGTCGAGTGTTTCACCTAACGCTTTGCTACATCACCGCCCCGTGGATCTAAGTTGGAGGTGCTGCAATTAGGTGAGATCCGAAGTGGATAATTTTTACGACCGGAAACCAACACTGGTACACAAAATCATATGGCCCGAATCAGGCGTAGACGTGCAGGCCTTCCAACTTCACCAGTCGACGGTCATTGTTGAGGAACTGACACACAAGCAAGTGCGCACGTCCGAACGCACTCTGTATACACCTGGCTTTCGGTGTGTTATAGAGACGCATCATCAGGATTCGTTCAAAAGGGGCCGTGTTTTTATACCAATGATCTACCTCACCCTCCGACTTGTACAAGCTCTGCTGCCGATAACCCCGAACTTTTCGATCTGGCAGAATTAAGCATCGACGAATCAGTCTGGCAGCGTAAATGGCCAATTGTCCTTAATGCATGGTACACAAAGCTCATTCGCCTGACGTCCTAGTGACTCGCGCGGCCAGTTTGTTCATAACAAAGAAAAACGGCATCATCCATATGCCGGTACACAGTACCGACGCTTCGTTGCAGCGCAATCACCACCAGTTGCATGTGAGCCAAGGATACTGCGAGGGTCGCCCGGTCCTTACGCAGGCTCGAACTTACACTCTTGGATTACAAGTCACGTTTGTGATCCTTAAGACTACGGGTCGGCAGTTTGTTCATATGAAATTACTCTCATCCCATTGGAATAAGTGTCAGCAATATTTAAGCTCTACGTTTATCTGGAACGCTTAATTTGTCCTATTAACTGACAATTGCGCACAGGGCACAGGCGAATGGTATGATGCTAGACACTTGCTCTCCTAATGACTGGAACCACTTCAGAATTGCACCAGAATTTGTGCCTTTGTGTTCCTCTCATGCGAATTCTGTTTTGTATTTTATTGCCTGGAAACTCGAAGCATCATTAATTCGTTATCCACTCTTTCCCTCTACAGGCTGCGAATGGTGCTATGGTCTCGGAACCGTTCTGTTCGTTGTGCTTCACTTCGTTGCCTGCGATATTATCTGCGTTCTGTGTCGGACGTTCATCTATTCCTGGAGTCTCAGCTGGACTTCATGGTTGCGAGGTTCGTGTTTGCTCATGAACCCATCGTTTGCCTCCAGCCTTTCTTCTGTTGTAATCATTAATGAGGATATCCTCTTCGCGAAGCTCTCAACCAAACGGTGACAGTAAGCATAGCTTGTTTAACGCTTGTGTCCTTTCGACAACATGATATATTCAAACTGGGCCGATGTGCATTCACTCCTTATCCGTCCGGCGTCGGTGCAAAAGCTTGCGGTTATTGTATGGATCAGAGGCGGAAACACTGCGTATTATGCGATATTGTGGGGCTAACCCCCTCTTTTCGCCATCTTTGCTCTTGCCTTATGGGAGCGTTGGGTGAGCAATCCGTAGGTGTTCATCTTCAGCAACAGGCTTTATTGGGCCGCATTGCCTCTGCATGTGTGGTTTATTGGTGCTAAATTAGGCACAGAAGTCGGTGGCATTGTGATAGGAAATGGGAATGATACTTTGTGCCTTGCTTCGGGGACTCGAGTTTGGGCACATGAGTATTTGCAGAATGTTTCTAAACTTGACTGAGCACCACTCGTTTCTATTCGGTTCCTTGTCTGCAGATCGTGCGCCCCAAATTTGTAGAGATAGGCGTGTCGATGGCGAATGTGGACAACGTGATACTTGTCCACAGATTCCTCAGAAATAAAATCTATTTTCTCAGTGTAAATATCAAAGGAGTGCCACCTTGTATCGCTAAGTATATTGATCTTGTATCCCCATTTGTTTGACTTCTTGGGAATATATTGCTTCAAGCTGGACCTCCCTTTGAATGCGACCATTTGCTCGTCAACGGACATTTGATCTTGAAGGAGACTCAAAATTTGGCAGGATAGAGTCAATGATTGGTCTGATTTTGAAATATTTATCTCTATTGTCCTTTACCATGTTAGTGTTATCACTGAGTGCCCCATGCTGAGGCTGATGTTGCATTCTTGATGCTTCTTCACCGCAGTTGGGCTAAACCAACTTACACTTAAACAAGGTCTTTTTAAGCTGGATAAATTTCATTCCACTTTATTTGGTTTGTCCTGCCTACCTGAATTATGTTCTATTAACTGGCCACGTTGCTTACGCTAATTGCGCTTATCTTCGGTAATTTTGTTGCGTTTGTAGCATTTTTAAGTAACTCATGGACATTTCTTACTTATCGCGGATTCGTTGCTAACCAACTTACTTCATATGATAATTTAGGGAAGAGTTATACCACCGTATCTGTATGCATTATTGGATTTATTTTATTTCATCTTGTCGTTTCAAGTGAATGGCTGTTGCTTGATATCCCCGGTGTGGCTGCGCTTGATGTGCATGTTGACAAGGTGCCTACCTGTCTATTACCCACTACCTCGTTCATACTGGCTCCAGGAGACAGTTGGTCGTTGCTGGAGGGGACGGGGTGCACAGTCCTTGTGGCCGTGCTAGGCTCGAAGAGTGGTTCCATGCACTCAGTGTGGAGCGGACTACGGTCCAGCCACCTCCTTGTGTGCGCTTGATTCCCCGAAATACAGCGTGCATGTGTTTGCCTGTGAAGGAGTGTGGGCCGGCTCTGTTGATGAAACGTGGCTCGCATCCACTTGCCCCCTATTCTTATTCCTTCTGGTTTACACTGGATATGTGGGGTGTGTGGATGGAGTTGTGGGTGGTGCAGCGCAAGCCACCCATGGTCCCTCTGTAGGCGCAGGCGTCTTGTGGCTGACCACAGTGACAGGCCAATCCGAAACCGGATGCCGCCAACCATGTTATCACTGAAGTGGAGAAAAGTTTCACTTTGTTCCTATTTGTCTCGGGACATCACATCAGCCACCTGCGCTTATCTACATTTGCCGGACTACTACATTCTTGAGAGTGGCAAATGTTGTAATACGCTCATCACTACACCAACAAACTGCTCCAGTTCATTTCTGTCTTCTTGGTGGCCACTGTTCAGGTCTATCTCCAAGAAATCAGTGTCAAATAGATCTCTGAAATACTGAATGAGCTTCTTAATTTCTTCGGAATCAGCGACAGCAGCTTACCAAACTGCAATGTCTTGCGGAATTCTGGCGCGGTACTGCTTTCCATGATAACTTGAGCTGTTTTCTCTTCCCCGTAAGTGATAATCGCTTTATATGGCAGCTGATTGCTTTACTGCGGCAGTAGCAACTGGTAGTCTCCTTGCAGGAGTGTAGAATTGGTGCCAGCAAGTGCAACATGATGATTGTTACTGTGCATTTTTTCCTCTCCGTTATCGTCATCTGTGCTACCTTTGCGCTAGTAACGATGTAAGAATATAAGCGCCTTCGCTGTCACCGAGCTTGCTGTGCTCACTTTCAATTAGTAGAATCCTGGTTCGAAATTTACTCTTACTTGAAAATCTGACAGCTTGTTTGCCATAAGAAGTTGCTGTCCGTTTTTTTCTACCCAACAATAATGGGTGGAACATTTCATATATATGAAATCTATAGCCAAATTACCATTACAGAATATATCAATACAGTAAGATAAAAGAAATCAGTGCACAGGAATTCTCTCTAAGAGGACGAATCGAAACACGAAATTTTTGTGCACCGCTATTTGTGCCTAATGTAGCGCAAATGACAAACCGAGAAATTTCTGATAACTGTCCTCTCTCACGTTATGCATACAACTGGTATATCAGCAGTAGAAATTAACACATTTAGCGAGTAAATAATTTTGCTTTGAAATAACTTACCACCAATTTTGACAAAACCCACGAAATTCTAAGCCAAGTTACACGTCCACACTCACTACTTTTAAGTGATTGTAACTTCAGACAGACCGCAAATTGCCGTGACCTGTTCTACTGGTGGAATCAGATTGGTGTCCAGAAAATATCAACACAAGCGCTGAAAGAAAATATGTGCATTGTAGCTTGAATTTGTGAAAGAAATGGTTTGAAGCATTTTCGCGACATACGGCGTTAAATTGTTACGGGTAGGGTGTAAAATGCTTCTGTACGTGCGGTCCTATTGTACCGTTGGCCTATGCACTCGGAAGATGTGAAACCATCGTTAGCTTTTGACAACTTGTCTTCGAAGGATTCCTCATGTGTGATGGCAAACTCACGTAAGCAACACCGAAATCTGAGACCGAGTCCTTGAAGCAAACAGCCCATACCTCTAAAACGTTATTCTCCGACACTGCATGCGTTGGCTCCGCCACTTATCGCACCTACCAGCCTATCGGGTTATTTGTGCTCCCCGGAAGCGATTGGTAAAAGTGTCACGGTGGATAACGGCTGACGTAAAGATAGCATGAAGGCAAACTCAAACTTAGCATACGCCCCCATCGTTACGTTACTCTGTCTGCACCACTGGGACGCTTACCAAACCCTCTGAGCCGGATTGCCGATTTACGTTGTGTATGGTGACGAATTATCTGGGTGTGAAGGTTGATTATGGTACAGGGCAGTGGAAGCCACAAGGAGACTATCATTATTCTCTACACGCTATGTGGTGGTTTGCGTCTAAATTATTGGCAAAGTATAACCGCGTTAACCCCGATCATTTGTTTATGGCGTCTAGTTTCGCATCGGATTCTTCCCTCATCCTTAGTAGGGTAAACAGGATCGTATTGCAGAGAACGCTAATGCACACCAACCCTATACTGCTGTTGTAAATTATGATGATGAATTCTCAATCAATGGCCTCCAGCACTTTCGATCCTGATGCATTGTTTACTGAGCATATCATTCACGAGGGGGAGCAACTCGTATGCAACATGTCACACCATGCTTCGAATTGAGTCATCTACGGACTGATATGAGGTGCGAAGTCGGTCTTTTGATATTCAAGCTTTTTCGCTATCCTTTGGTTACGCTACGATTTTATTGATCCAGGCACACCTACACGTCCTTCGCCAATGTGCCGTTGCACACCCACACCCAGGCACACACACACCATTCTTAGACCCCAACTGTTTGCTTTCACATGTACAGACTTTTGTCACCTGGTCTGCTAGAAATACTGATGCCAAACACACCGCGTTATCTCCAGAGAGACTGCGACGACCACAATTGAGACTGCCTCGCTGTTGGGTTAGCACTTCAGCGCTGACTAGACTTAAGCACGAGTTTATACTCTGAGAACGAGTGTATTGCTGTTTTGTGACGCATATGTTCCCTTCTTCCGACTTCACTACTGACTAACCCCATTAGGTTGCGAGTTTGTGGAACGTTATATAGTATTCTCCCGAAACGAAGCCGCGGTTTCCTCACGGGCACTGTTTCGTGTCACTGCATCGCCCATTCTGCATGTTACCTTCGCACTTTGAGCAGGTTATGCCGGCTCGTGACCTTAAGGATCACAAGCCTGCCTTGTACTCCAGGGGTCGCGGGTTCGAGCATGCGTAGGGGACCGGGCGGCCCTCGCAGTATCCTTAGCCCACGCGCGGGTGGTGGTGGTTACGCGCCCGCGAAACATCGGTGCTGCTTATCAGCCTACTGCTGTTGCCCCTGCCCCTAGCCCCGAACAGGTTGGACGAACGCGGTGTTATTTGAGAATGAGCGTATTTTCGCTGCCGTTTCATATCCTCGTTATTATCAACAGTAGCATATTCATATTTTGTACTGATGCCTTGGCCCCGTGCAACTATGGTGGTTTAGGGAATGAGGAGGGAGATGGAAGGGTGACTTAATGTTAAGCATAGCTACCCTAAACAAGCACCCGGAGTCAATGCGCCTACACACACTGGGTCACAGACAGCCGGCTATCGTGTGGCGTCCACTGCCCTACGTCATAGTCATACTCCACTGGCAGTCCGACTAGGAAACGAGACCAGACGTGCCACTAATGCTGGCTGCGGCCCATGTCTTGTAAAGTCACAAAGTAGATCATGTGAACTCCAGACTGTGTTAGAATAGCCGAGCCAACAGCGTCATCAACTGAGTGATTTCGCGCTATCCAGTTAACCAACCTCATCACTTCAGCTCACTCTATACACAGTGACAGGCACATACGTGTCTTATGTGCGCTCCACTTCTCTACATTAAGGTGCCTTGATTTGTCGTACGCGCCCGAGCCGAATTCTAGTCTCACACGTGCTGTTGCTCCCATCCCACATGGGTTACTGGATTCCACCTACGAAAATGCTTTCGGCTTCGGATTGTCCCCCGGACAGCTTCACCTCCCATACGTACCGTGCACGCAGATACCTGAAAATGGAGAAGCTTCGGGAGATCATCAAGTTGCTTGGTCACGAAAACCGATACATCCAAAGCTGCGTAAGCACCCACATCTCATTGGCATGTCACTTTCCTATTTGATACATCGATCTCGGTTCTGTCAGTGAAAGCTGCTTAGAATATCATAGTCACACATTCCTTTCACCGTTTACTTGTCGCTGTCCTGTGACGAATACTTGCATATGCTTTGCTTCTGCGTGCTGACAGACTGTTAGTCCTTTGTGTAGAACAGTAACGCCAGTTAAATTCATTTGTCAGCAATTTGACCACATCGAAATCCAAGATAAGCCACGCTTTCATTTTATGACCTACCCAATTCACGCATACAGCCTGCGTCGATGCCAATACGCTCCCACAAATAGTGCGCGTTTGTATTGCGCACCTAAATGTTATTTAATAATAATAAGAAAAATAAAAGATATATTTCTCTATGGGAGAAGCTGCGTCTAATTTTGGCACAGATCATGTATGTACAGGTGGTACCATGCTCTTGCATGAGCAGTATAAAGTTTTGACGGATGTAAAATGCAACGGTATATTCCTCCTCGGTGGGAAGTACACTCCAACTGTATGTTACGATTCTTGCTGTACGGCGGAATCGCAAAGAGCAGATGTTTTATTTTTCGAAATTCCAAAGCAGTTCCCCAACTATTTTTTTGGACATGGCTAATTGATTGGTTAATTCTCTCAGGAAGATCGAGATGTTGTCAAAAAATAATAAGTGTAGATAAATCCAAATATACAAGTGATGTATTGCGGCCATCCATGGAACCGTCTCCTGGGGACCTGCTACCACGCGGTTTATTTCTTTGATGAGTTTCACCCACACTTTCACGCCTTATCTGGCTGTGTACCGGTGTGGCTTTTAAAACAAATGATCATCACCCATGTAATTCATCTTTGGGGCTGTTTTTATGCGTAGGTAGCGTGGACAGTCAAGCCATCTAGCCCGTACGACCAAATCGGTTTTTTGAGTCCAGCACTTTTTCCTCCCCAAGGAACCAATGGCAATGCACCTTGCACGGATACAATTATTGGCGTTGGAAGTTTCAATCCGTCATCTCAGTGTATCAGCTGTGATACTATAGCAGAATAATTTCTTATCTCTTGTTTTCAGTGACACCTTACGATCATGTTCAGATCAATCAAGAAAGGCGTATTTTCTCTTAGAAAATTTGCTTGTTTCCCCACTCTTCCGTATTCGTTGTCCAGTGCTCTAGTAATCTTATAATCTTGTGCCTACATCTTTGTTTTTGCGAGCGGATCTATGTCACGTAGATGAACTTGGTCAGATCCGATTACCGGCCCACTTTGCAAGCACCGGCTAACCCACCCCCTGTTCCCTTTGGTGGTGATTATCCCGCACTCCGTTACGGCGTCGCGGTCTCTGGTCAAACAGAGCTCCAACTCTTACCTTTCTTCGCCCATTGACGCCATTCACACAGATGTGTTCGCTATTAGCCAATCATCGATTCAGTCCACTTTGTATACCACGTATCCGTAGGCCAATCTCTGCTGCCTCGATCTTCGCGAAATCCAGGCCCGGTTACTTTTGCCTTCAATTCAAGCAACCACTCTCTCGCGACCTCGATGCCTGCGTCGGCTGAGCGGCATTCATTTCTGCGCCTAGCTTATCACTTGGTTCGACTGGCACCACACCTGTTTCCTTCTAGTCTAATACAAGCCGTGGCGGCTCCCTGCCTACGTGCCGGTCGGTTGGCTTCCTCCTGCCGACGTGATCCTCTCAATAAGAAGAACCTTCGTGATACGCGCCATACCCAGGCTTTTCCTCTGCTGACCAACTACCGTGTTGATGCGGATGCTCTGGTCGATTCTTGTGCCTTATCAACACGGGACGTAGCTGTTCGCAGTGGTCTTCTCATACTTTCAGAGCTAGGTAAGTCCTGACCACATGATTTATGGTGGGGTTCTGTGTTAATTTTGGTCTACATGTAGACGGCTCATTTCTTGCATCTGACTTTTCTCTCCTCAGGTAGTCTTTCTCATCTTAATCCGATGAATTCATCCCGATTCCTCTCATACATCGGTCTCTTGAACAGCTTCCAACGTTCACACCCGTTTGGCATGCTGATTCACCGTTGGCCGCATTCGGTTTGCGACCTTCGTTTCCGGATTAGCCTTCCTCTGTGACTGCGAACAGCCCCAAAACGTCTGCACCTGCAGACGGATTATAGACGGTTTGCGCTGCACCGCCTATAGCTCCATCCACACACCACATTTCCAGTGTTAACACGACAGGACGAGACCGGGAAGCATGTGCATGATAGCCACGGCTGATACAAAGCCAGCACACACATACACACACACCTTCAACATGTACATAACTTATATGAAATGGAGGGGAATATTCATACCAGAGGTGCACAACTCGGTGGCCTAGCTTTGTCACGGAGACTGTGCGCACCCGGTTCTCAGCAACGGTGTACAGTCCCCTGGAGCCAGTATAATCGAGGTGGCGGTTTTCGACAAGTAAGCTTCTTGCCAATACCTTCGCGAAGCGCAGCCAGACCCTGGATATCAATCATAAGACACCTCTAGTGTGAGGAAATATGCACACAGGCGCACGTACGTACCATGTGCAGCGATGATGCAGCACACGCGCAACATCTACCGAATTATTGGCCTGGATTAATAAATGGAATCAGAAGCAACGTACTTACTACGCGCTGATACTTACCTGTTCAACTTACTCGTCGCGTTTTCAATATTGACTCATCGTGACCACCTCGATGGCTTACTAACTCGGATCTGCTGACGCCCATACGTCTGCAGGTGCAGTTGTCTGTCGCTTGCGTAACCGGCGTTTTTATCCTTGTTGCTCTTTTCTGTGCACCTTCCCGATAACATCATTGGTGGGGCGACCCACTACCGCATTTCTCATCACCTAAACTCAACATTAGTTCATGACAAACTCACCTCGATCATCTCCTAGTCACGAAACTTTGGTTTTCCCATGTTCCGTCTCCCCTCGTATAGTTGGCCATACAATAGGCGCTTCGGTATCCTGGTTGCATGCATACGGCGTACATGCCCGAGCCACCTCAAGTGTTACCTTAGGAACATGCAATTCACTCGGTACATCACGGCGGAACACTTCCGGGTCATGAACTTTTCGCACCAACGAATGCACGAAATCCGACGCAGGTACTGTTGATAAAGTCATTCTAAATATCGGACTTCCTTTATAGCTGCCGTCAAGCAAATCGACGCCATTGATTTGTAGACCGTAAGCTTAGTCCCGACAGTCCGCTGATGTTGCTTCCAGACCGTAGTTTCACATACACCCTCGATACACGGGTGCGCATCCCTCAGATCATCCGTGGGTCTGTTGGCAGTACGCTCCCGAAATAGCGAAATTTCGACGAATTCTTCAAAACTTTTGATTTACTGGCAGCACCCAGACTCCATTCCTGGTGATTCCGATATTCGCCACCGTCAAAGCGATAATCGTCATCATACGAGTCAGCTCATCCTCGTTGTGTGCAAACAAGGCGCAGCCGTCAGTCGACAACAACGATAATCCAATGTTTGTTTCACACTCTCGGGTTCTCGCCCCGAAACAATTAATGTTCAACAACCTACCATCGGCGCGGTGCTCCAGACGGACACAGTATCCACAAGAATTGAAAACACAGAAATTATGGTTGTTAGATGAATAGTAAACAGAGTAGGGGCTAAGATACAGCCTTTTGCATTGCAGCACACTAGCTGCGGTGTGTTTCTCACCCTCGCCTAACATGTATTGATGAGGATGCTGCACACCAGGAACCACATCACAGTTAATAGCGATTTGTCCACACAGCTACATCCTCGCCCGCATACCACTGTGAAAGTATTCCTACCTGTACTGGCGTGTCTCGTTTCGTCGAGAATATAACTATTCATTTATTCATTTAATACAAATACCTGCTTAACATCAGCTAGAGTATCTCACGGTTCACCGGGTCTAATGTTTTTGTGATTCCCACCAACAGCGAATACAATAGCTGATTTCGCTACGACACTTCTGCAATGAGCGAGCCGCAAACACCATATCGATTACATCGCGACTCGAACGAAAGCCAAGTCGGATTTAGTCTCAAAACATGAGTAACACACCGATTAAATCTTATCCGGACCATTATTTACGTGACGCAGCTTAGCAAATTGATGCGACTATGCTTGTCGGCCTATCATTTGCTTTATTTTCCCTTGTACCTGCGGTAGCGCAAGATATCTATAGGCTCAACAGGCACCTGTCCTTCACAGTAAGTGTTCCACAAAGCGATGTCGCATCATCCTGGATTTGCCGCTTTTCAGCAATTCTAATGGTATCCCATCAACGCCGGCACACTTGCTGTCACGCCGCTTGGTAAGTGCTCTCTGCGTCTCCTGCGCTCTCGGTATGACGGTCCAACCACCCCTCTTTTTTCCCAACCGGTGTACAGTCAAACCTGTCTAAGACGACCACTCAAGAGACCGACAGAATGTGGTCGCCATAGGCAGGTCCATGCATAAGAACACTACTCGTAGTAGAAAATGTTGGGGGTGTTTTTGGCTGGTCGCCATGGCAGACTGGACTGTATTTTGACCACTCACTCTCTAAATGGTTGTTCAAGAGACCGCCGAAATGCTTACGCCTCATCTGCTTGATGTATGCAGTTTGTGTGCATACAGCACCCGAAACGACGACCGCCTGCATCCTAATCGGTTGCAAGCTAGGTCCATATAGTGGATTTAAGTGGTCATAGTACTCGTTTACCAGCCTATTAATAGTGTACTCTTCGATAAAAGGGAGTGTAGCACTCCTAGTAAGGTCTGCCCAACTCGTGTCGAGCATGGTTGTTAAATTGTGCATCAAGCAGTGGGCTTCTTTTCGTTCACTACATTGAGGCACCTGAAAGGTATACGGGATCAATTCGCGGAAGCCGACGGTCACTCGGCCTCACCTTGGGGAATTCTCTGTGTTTGGTTTAATCCGAAAATCTCAGTAGAATCCGCACGACATGAAAGGAACTAAAGATTTGGCTAACTGGCTTTTATACTTATGAGTAAGGGATTTTGGTGTGTTGGTATTGTGAGTTCATCACATTACCTACCAAGTCCGATGATATACCATGCATCCGGTAAAGTACCAGGCGGCCGTTTCTTCCTGCAGAGATTCGTCCCTGGTGCGCATCCCTCAGCTCATTCAGGAACCGCGGCTTGCGGCACCAGCTAGCACCTTATGACACCAAGTCACACGTGACGGCCGAAGACCGTTATGACTGCGATATAGTTGCTAGGGCAACTTCTAAATGCAAGGTTGTTAATCGAAACCTTGTCACCACTTCCTCCACGTTCGTAGGGTGTGATAGAGCGTAGCACGGAAGGCAGCCCCATGCTGAGGCTGATGTTGCATTCTTGATGCTTTTTCATCGTCTGCTGTACCTGTTCTCATGAGCAATTTCATGTTGTATACCCTCTCTGTTAACCTTTTCCTTTTGCAATACTGTGTTCATTTCTTCATGCTTTCACTGCTCGATCCTTAGTGCACAGCTCTATCATCCAGCGCATGATAATGACTCACTGGCTCCATGCTCGCTATTACATATGTATCATGGATCAGTCTATGTCGAGTTGACATTCGGCAGACCTATTGATGACATTGCTTTATCTCTAAAAATACAGTACGTTTTTACGTCGCCTCTAATTCGCCACTTCGTTGTATTACCTTAATGACTTTCCTGTCACCTCCTCCAGTTATTCACCCAAGAAGGCACATAGCCTTACCTCTGCAGTAATGCGTCACGCACCTGCTCTAGTGACTCACAGGATTCCGTGCTCATGTCGCTGTCAGGCCTTTGTCCGCGTCGCACTGCTCGTCAGCACAGCCATCCCATTGCTAACGCTGCTTAGTACTGTGCACTGATTAATGGCATGCGCGCTCCAACTCCCGTCACGTATACTGTGAGTCGTGTTTTTTACTTCGCTGCTGTTGGACACTTATGCAGGTCGATGATGAATGCACTCTCTTTTTCAAATCCTGCGCCTCTCCTTCACCTACTCACACTGTCTCGACAATTCTTTGACAGTGAGTCTTCTGTGTCATTTTTGCTCTACGTCTGTCAGTCAGTAGCGATTCGTTGTCACTGACTCACGGATAGTATGCAATGATTCGCTCACAGCGGTGCGCGCGGTATGTCTACGTGAGACCGAATCAGTAAGCAAGTGATTCCGCCTAGTCGTGTGGATCGACACTCTCTTCTCAAGTGTAGCGTACGACGGTCTCTTGACCTGAAGCCGCATTCGACTCTGTGATCGAGCCATCTTGTGACATTGCTTACCATGAGGGAGTGCCAGTGACTCTTTCCTTCTGTATCTTATACCGTGAGCCCGAGGCCTGTAAGCTGTACGAAATTCTCTCCTGACTTTCTTGACAGTAGTGTTGCCGATACTGAAGACTGCTTAGCACTCGAGAAGGGAAGACTATCTTTCGATGCTCAGTACAATGATCCTGCATATTTTTATGGGGGATGTCCCATTGATGAGATGTATCATCGTATCTAAGTGATCGGCGCTTCTCTGATAAGCCTTATCCGAATGTGGAGTCTCTGCAGCCACACAGAACGTCTCCATTGAAAATGCAGAGAATCTGGATATTTTTATATTCCTCTGTTAACAGACATTGTGCCATCAGACGTGCAAGAAAAAAGGAGAAGATAGGACACAACTCGTGTCCCAACCTGGAAGACGACATCGACTGCGCCAACTTGTGTACTCTTGTGCTCTTCTCTACGATTGACTGTCCCTCGGACTTTTCCAGTGTCCTGGAGTGCAATAGCGCTCGATGTGAAGGCGTGGCTGCAGGAAAACATGCCTGAGCCAGGCGATGTCGGAGAATAACATCTGAAACTGGCACTATTCCCCCAGCACGCGGTTCTCACCTCTGCGTGCTTATTGGTGTGCCATACCGGCAATCTTCGTAACAGCGATTGTCGAAGACTGACAACTTCATGTCTTCCGAGCGAATAGCAAGTCTCACAGCTTAAGAGTACTGCACAGACGGAGCATTGTACACCTGTCCTAGAGCTTGAAC